ATACAGAGTAAGAGTATGGTCCTGACCCAGTAAGTGTCCTTATGGAACATCAGGGTCTCCTCAAAAGGCCACTTACCCATCTTTGACTAATACAAGAGCAAATAGAGTGCATTCAACTTTTTTCCCCCTAGAGTGATCATAGATGGTAGACTAACTATCAAGAACTGTGAAGGGTCTGAGATTGTACTCTACCTTAAAGCTAACAAATTAGCATGCTATAGTATCATGGAAGCTGGCAGATGACACGAGACTCCTATGCCAGAGACAAAGAACAATGAATTACTCACAGCAGTAGCAGCAGCCACAGCATTGGTATTTACACCAGTTTCCCAAATCTCAATTCCTCATTTCTATAGGGTAGTGTGAGAGGGTCAGATTTGTGCACCGAGTGGGTTGTGTTACTAGAGAGGAACCTTGTAGAGAGGAACCAGTACAAAAGAACTTGAATCTTTTATACTGGTCAGTAAGCATGTCTACCCTCTGTTCTAGAGAACACACAATCTCTATCTTCCAAGGCTGTTCACTGTATAAACATCCTTAAAAAGATAGTCTAGAACAAAAGGCCAGATAACGCTTCACTCACAAGATGTGCAGAAAGCCAAGAGACACATGGAAAATTGTCTCCCAACGATATCTTAACCTCGCTCCCCCTCACCCCACCAAAGTGATTGCAGACAGTAGCCTAACCTGGTGGCAAAGTCACTTTGCACACTTCATCTAATAGCAATCCTATTGATGGCATGAAACAGAAATATGTAGATCACTTTCTGATTTTCAAAGTATTTCACCCACCTACAACTCCTACTTCATACCACTCAATAAACTTTTCATTTTAAATAATGTTTCCCATAAGCATGTTATTTTTTTCTAAATTGGGCCTCTTGCAAGAGAGGATGCTTACTTACAAACAAAACCAACACCTTTTTATTACAGAGAAGAAATTGATGGTCCAGGAGGGTAAAGGGACTCATTCCAAGTCACCGAAGGAGTGATGAGAATTCATAACTGCAGCTGCTCCCTTCAGCTCCCCATGTGGCTTTTTGTATGAGGAGAGGTGCAGATACAATGTTAAACAGGAGTGAGTCGGGAGGCTGAGAGTGTTCTGAGCTAAGCTACTTATTTCTCCTTGTACCTTCAGGGTTAGCACAGCAGTTGGCATATAGCCGTATTCTGTAAACAATCTTTGAATTAAATTGTATTGAACTGGACCAGGAGGGAGGTAAGGAAGGAAGGGGCCCTGAGTCAGACAGAGGGGCAGACATGAAGACAATCTGCATATGTCATCCAGCTATAATACCACTTGGAGAGAGGGGTTTGGATGGAAACCTCATGGCCTGGTTTGTTCAGTAAACAACCTTAGGGCTGAGTATAAGCAAATCTAAAAGCAAACAGCCTTCTCTGGAAAGATCTGTCTGGGTTCCAGAGAAATGGAGAACCAGGACACCTAATTTTTTTACTGAGCATTTGTCATACATTATCTCTACCCTTCATAACGATAATAATAGCTAACACTTATCTAACATTTGCTTAGTGCTCAGATCTCACAACAACCCCATGAGGCAGGTAATATTGTTAATGAATCCCCTTTTACCAGATCACGAAATGTCACCAAGAGGTTAACTTGTCCAGATTCATGTAGGTAATAAGCGGCAGAGCTAGGATTTTTTCCAATTGCAAACCCTCTTTCTCGAAGCCCTAGAGTTCTGGGCAGGGAAACACAATCCATCTGTGACTACAGATTGGCACTTTAATCAGTGAACACATCAGCAAACATGTCCTTAACACTTTTTACTTGTAAGACACTGTGCTCAGAACCACGGGGGATCTGAAAGAAGAGAAAACAATCCTTGCCTCATTTCTACCACCTTACAAAACCTGACGTTTAGTCAGAGGGACAAGCCTGACCTGCTTGGAACCCAGGAGAACCAGGAGGGCAAACATAATTGAGTCCTATGGGAAGACTATGTATATTCAGGAAAATCTATTCAGAGAAATGATGGTCAATTTGTAATCAAAAAAATTACCACTGTATAATATATTTATATCCTTTATCTCATTTGAGTCTCACAAAAGCCCTATGAGATACATAGGACAGACCATTATTTTAATTTTTAAGAAAAGAAAAACCAAGATTCAGGGAAGACAAGTGAAGTGGCCAGGATCACATACGATGCAACAGCAGAACCAGAGCTTGGACTCACTCTCTAAGTCTATTGCCATGTCCACTGATGATCTCAGGGATGTGATAAATTATCAGTGGGCATGGATCAGAAATGACCATAGGACCGTGCAAACAGAGTTCTTGTTGAGACAAGAGGGTCCTGAGTGTCATTAAACTGAAAATACCAGAGGTATTTCAAGATGACTGAGGCTTCCTGGTAGAAGTCAGGCTGGGACAGGCAGTAAGAAGTCATGTCCTTCATTTATTCCATTCCATCGTTTGACATGTATCAGTGCATGCTTATTGCCAAGCACTGGAAATACAGAGACTTAGTCCCTGCCATCAGAAATTTCAGTCCACAAGAAAGAGATTAACAGGCTGTGATGCCAAGTGGTAAGTTCTGTGTTATGAATCCAGTGCCTAGGAATTGGTAGAAGGCTTTAGAGAAGATGTAGCTAGTGTCTTAGAAGAATAGAAGTTTGTCAGGCAGAGAAGGATGTCTCATACCAATGGCAGAAGGAAATTAAGGTCAATGGACATTTTCCAGAAAAGTCATTCCTGAGCACACCCAGGCTGGAGAAAGGTCCCTCCCTGTAGGCAACAGCTTCACCCATTCTGTGCTCTGTGTGCAGGGAGGCCAGACTGCGCTGATGCTGGGAGTCAGTCATGACAGGGAGGACATGGTTCAAGCGCTACTGAGCTGCCAGGCAGATGTCAACCTGCAGGACCATGATGGATCATCGGCCCTCATGCTGGCCTGTCGCCATGGCAATGCTGACATGGTGCGGCTGCTTCTGGCACACCCGGCCTGCGACAGCAGCCTGACTGACAAGGTGAGACTTCCAGGAAATTAACAAGTGAATGTTTTACTTCCCTCCCTGAGACATTCCTTGCCAGCCAGCATCCTCAAGGAACCATATAGCAGTAGGGACAGAACTGACGTCATAACACTGTTGTGGGATTTAAATGAGATGATTCATGGTGAATGCCTGCAGTCTTGGAGCTGAGAAACCCCAAACTCTAGCCTTTCACACCATTATGAGGGACTGTGCCCATGCCTGGCCTTGGCCCTGAACCTCATCTAGTCACCACAATGACAGCATGTGGACTTTAAGGCAGCAGCTTGGACGGGGAACCTCTGCCGTCCATGGGGACTCCTGAAAGGCTAGATGATGGAATCAAATGTAAATTAGGTCTATTCCTTGATAGTGACCCACTTTACAGAGTAACCCATTTCATAAAGCCAACCTTCTTGAAGTTACAGTGCCAAACACATGGTTCTTAAATAAACTTCCTTATAAGGTGATGGCAATGATGATGATGATGATGGTGATGGTGACGATGATGATGACAATTATAATAATAGTTTACATGTATCAAGTGCTTTCTCGGTGCCAGGTAGCATACTAAGCATTTACCGTGGCAACCTTGTGAGGTTGACTCTGTTGATACCTCCCATTTGCTCACAAGGAAACGGAGGCACCAAGTGGTTAAGTGACATACCCAAGATCACACAGCTGCATCATTGTCACTGTTGTCACACTGTACAGTCCTCATCACTGGTCCCCTAGTAAATCCTCTGCACCTAGTAAAGTGTCTGCCACATATTAGATGAATGAATCAAATAGCTGAATAAATAAATCAGTCATGTGATACTATGACTGATCATTGCAGTAAGAGCTAAACTCTTCCCACGCATTACTTCACTAATCCTCTCAATAATTCAGTCAAGCAGATACTGTGATCCACATTTTTTACTGATAAGGAAACAGAGGCCTAGAGAGTTTATGTAACTATCATAAGGTCACAAGATACTGATTCTCGAAGCAGGGATTCAAGATCAGGTCTGACTGCATTGTCCTTAATGTTGGCACTATAATTTAATGCTTTAAACAGACTTCTCTGTATTTTTTTAACATCCACGGTTCAAAAGGAGTAAAGGCCTGGGTGGGAAGGGGAAAAGAGTCCCCTCCTTTCCCAGAGACGGCCCCTCTTACTAGGCCATGAGGGAACTATCCAAGATTGTTCCATCAGTGAGTGATTCGAGCTGCTAGGTCCCTCAAACCACACACCAGGCAGCAGGCACTCCATTCCACGGTCTTCAGGACCCGTGAACCCAGCTCTACTCCAAAGCTATTTCTGAGATAGAGAGCACAGACCCTCTTGAAATGCATGTGGGAATAGTCATGGGCTGCTGGAAATAAGAGCCTCCTATTTGTGTTAATGAGCTCCCTGCAAGGTCGCCCTGAGGGAGAAGGAGGCAACCCCTTAATCTGGAACAGGCCCAGGGCCTTTTTAGGAAAGAGCACTCCTGTTGCCTCAGGGAGGCCTGAGAGAGCAGGCCTGTGGGACAGGGGCATGAGCTTCGGAAGTCCCCGGTTAGCTGGGATAATCAAGCAGTGACTCTGAGAGCATCTCCTGGATACCTACGGAGATCTGTCACAGATGAGAGAGAGCTAAATGGCTGCTTGCAGGAGGTGGAGAAAGAATTATGGCAGGAGGGCTGTGTGGTACTTGTGACAACTCCGGTGACTGTCAGAAGCACGGACTTTAAACACTCATGGGTTTGAAACTGGGATCAGTGACAGTGTGCCTTTGGCCCATTCACCTAACCATCAGAGTCTCCTGTATGCTCATTTGTAAATAGGGACAGTAATAGACATTATCTAAATATAGTAATGTTTGTACAGCCTGTATCTGACATCTAGGAGGCACTCAGTTGGTGGTAACTGTAATTTTTATGAACAGGTCAACAGTGAGAGCTGAAATGAAGCAACTACTACATTAACAAGTAGGGTCCTTGGCATTTGCAGACAGAGTCTGGAGGGAATAGGAAGCATGAAGGTCTGGAGTTAGGTAAGAGAGCCAATCAAAGGGACACTGGCCCCCAAAGGTCAAAGCCAAGTGGTCTACCTACCTGGTTTAGTCCAGTAGTTCTCATTCTGAGGTAATTTTGGCAATGTCTGGAGACATCTGAATTTGTCACAATTCAGGAGGAGGTGTTCCTGGCATCTAGTAGGTAGAGGCCAAGAATGCTGCTAACCATCCTACGATGCACAG